GAGTCAGACTGTATGCCCCACTGCCGGACCCCGAGGTTTCGCGCGGACCACTTGAGGAAGCTCCTTGCTGGCGCGTTGGGCGAGCGGGCAGACATCCCTTCAGGCTTCATTGCCATGTGCGGTGTCTGGGCCAGAATTCAGCTTGGCAAGTGTCCGGATTAGTTTGTTTTCTCATTGCTTCTGCGCAGTTTCGATCATGAAAGACCTCGGCTTGAAGAAAACGGTGAGGGAAGCCAAGGCAACGCTGGGCATTTTGGCCACAACGATTCATTTGCAAAAGCCTTCATGGATGAGAATGGCAAGATGTACCCCAAGAAAAAGGATCAGATGTACATGGCGTTTAGCGAAGAGGAGATGCAAGCTCGATTCTCGGACAGCTCCGTGCGTCGTTTTGTTAATTTGTTTTGTGGGAGTTTTTTTCCGGCCAAGCTGTCTGACAAAGGACGGGGGAAGAAGCAAGGCGCGGTGGCATTGATGCAGGCCATGGTGCTGTTCTCGCACCCGGACACAGCCATCTTTCAGCCCCAAGTGAAGGAGAGGAAGCACTTCACAGCCACGACTTTTAGCAGCGCCGCGGCTGTAATTTAGAAGTTGACGCAACGTGATAACTTTGAAGTGCGGCGTCTCACTTCGCCCATTCGACAGACCAGCTGAGGCAATTTGATCCAGGACATCAGCGTGCCGTCCTTTGAGGATTCTTGGCTGGTCACCACGGCGAGCAAAACCTTGCTTCTTCAAGGAGGAGGGCTTGTCCGGGCTGGGGGAGCCGCTCCTGAGGATGCGTGGGACCGGCCATCTCTCGAGGGCAATGGCACGGTCCCGGTGTGCTGGCACGGGCTCAGTTCGGAGCTGTACGAGGAGCTTGTGCATTCTTTCAAGTTGGATGTCGCTTGGCGTTTCCAATGGCATTTTTCTTCATTGTTTATACTCAGCCTGCCCCTTCTGGTAATCATGAGATTTGTCATGAGCAGGCTGTCATCTTCGCGACGGTCATGGATGAGCTCGGTCTTCTTGCTGCGGTTCGCTGCAAGATTCCTGCCCTGGGAATCTGCTGGAATGAGAAGCACCGGACTGCCTTGCTGAAACGCCTCAGGGAGCGGGTGTTCAAGGATATGGGCGATTCCAACTCTGAGCTCTACGATCCAGCAGTCGCCAAGCTGATGAAAGTGAAAGGAGAGAGTGATAATAAGAAGCCCAAGAAGTCGAAGGTCTCACGGCCCTCAAGCAAGGGCAAGTCAAAGCCGAAGCGCAAGACCAAGAAGGACAAAACGGACAAGAAGGACAAGAAGGAGAAGAAGACAAAAAAGCGGCCTCGGGACGAAGAGGAGGGCGAGGAGGACGAAGAAGACGAAGAAGAAGAAGAGGACCAGGACGAGGACGAGGACGACGAGGACCAGGACCTGAGCGAAGACTGAGGCGGCGTGAGAGTGCCAGACCGCGTGAGCGATTTTGCAGAGCGCCACGCAGGCCAATAAGACTACGCGCAAGAGATCGTAAGAGATGGTGTGTCTTAATTCTTTAGGCAGCGCAAAATGAATGATGGGCTGATGCCAGGCCAGTTGATGCTTCCTTGCTGCCGATACAGTTTGCAAGTCACACAGTCAAGCATGTTGCCCCCATCTAAAAGCAAGTCCACTGGCTGTCTTGGGGAAGAACCGTTGTGCTATCATTTTCAAGGCTTGCAGATGAAAGTGCCGGAGGGGTAGGCTCAAATGCTGCAGAAGGGGGCGAAAGGGGGTTGCAAAGGCTGCGGCAGAAAGAGCTGCGCACAATGCAAGTTTGAGCGCCTCGCGCCATCATGGCGCCTGCGGCTGGGAGCATGGGTTGGGGGCCGGACCAACCAGCCGGAGGGGTGGGGGGCTGGTTGTGAAGTGTGCCACGACCCTTGGAAGTAATGATGCAGGAGCCTTTTTTTTTATGTCTATACTTTTCCGGGGTGTTCTCAGACAGCCTGCGGGGATTCGTGTTGGTAAGGCGAAAGGCTTGCGGACGGCATGGGGGCGCTTTGCTATTCGCAGCATGCGCCAGGTGCAGTTAATTTCCTTTCAGCGGCATCAGCAGAGCGCGCAGCACCGACGAGCATCTGGTGTTTCTGGTGAAATGGAACGCATGACAGCGCCTGCGCCAAAGCAGTTCAAGAAGGTCTTGAAGCTCCGGCGGGAAGCTGGCAGCCTGCGGGCCATGGAGAAGAAATTCATATGCTGCAACAAGATCAGGAAGATGCAGTTTTGCCTCGCAGAGGCAAGCCGGCACTTTCTCCGGCTGCGGCTCAGAAGAAGCCAGGCAAAAGAGCCTTGTTTTGCAAGAGTCGGATTTCGGATCGGCTCCACCAAGCCCATGGTTTTGTGGGATGATGTTTTCTTAGGTCCTTCATCAAGATGCCCGAGGGCCGCGGCTTTTCACAAGGTTCGTGACTGCAACCCCTGACTTGACGGTCTACAGGGGGTCCTTTCCGGCTCCAAAAAGACACAAGGGAACCAGCCTGGGCATAGATGCTCGGACTTGCGTTTTGTAGTGCATTATTTGGGCATGTCCATGTCTTTCTTTAATTGACAACAGCTTCAGCAGTGCGCTGTTTGGGCATGTCTGTGTTATGAACTGACAACAACTTCAGGCACGGGCTTTAGAGGAGAGCTTGAAGTTGCTGTGCACACCTTACCTCGGCGCCCTGCCATCTGGCACCACAGCTGCAATGAATAATTATAACGCGCTTACAGGAATGTCATTGGTTGGCAAAGGTGGCCCCGGCAAGGGATTGTTTTCGCGGGCTATTGCGGGCTTGTGACATCACACAGGTCACCTCGACGTTGAGCAGTTTCAGAAGCTGGACGAGCGTCTGCTTGACCATATCAAGGGCTGCGTCGTGGGCCTTGATGGAGATGCTTGCTCAGCCCAGCAAGGTGGCTTGCAGATCTTTGGCAGGTCGTGCCCGAATCTGAGTTTCAAAGTTGCTCACTTACCCAAGGCTGACCTTTTGAACTTTTGTTTTTCATTTTGGTCCGTTTGGTACAGGCATTCGATTTCTGGATCCTTCGGGCAACTGAGGTGAGAGACCCGACTCACGCAACCAGGCGGATCTTCAAGCGACCTCTGGCAGCAGACACTGCTCTGCAAACTGTGTGGGACTTCTTCGTGACCGGACGTTGCGCCATCATTCGCGCCTTGTCCAATAGCGAGCCTTTCAAGACAGAGCTGTTTGACCAGATTGAGAAGATGGAGGGCGCGGGCAGGAAGAACAAGATGGTGAATTTCTCGATCGCCATGCACCGGTTTGAGAGCAGCTACGAGCCGGCGCAAAAGCTTATCTTTCACATTGTGCCTGTTGTGGCAGCCTCGCAGAAGATGTGTTCTACGCGCTCGAATAACAAGAAAGACCCCGTTCTTTCAAGCGCTAAGAAGTTCTTGGAGGGTTTGACGGACGAGCGCTTCTTGCCTGCGTGTTAATTGTCGCTGTTGCAGGGCAGTAATTAACTTGCAGGGTCGTTTACGTCCAAAAGCATGTCAGCTGTTGTTTTACAGTGGCGCGCAGCCTGCAAGGTTTTGTGGCCCTGGCCATGTTAGCGGACGCTTCCTCAGCCGTCATGGCCTTCACAAGAGCAATGGACACCGAGTCAATGGATGCCCCCCGACCACGTGTTGGCTTGTGTGTTTGTGTTGGTGCAGACTTGCCCATTTACGTTTTGACATTTTTTGCCTCCTGCGCACTACCGTGTGTTCTGTTGCCGGGCAAATATGTGGCAAGGTGAGCAGCATCAACCATCATTGCTTGGTCTTGGCCAACACCCTTCACCACTTGTTCGTCGCTGGCGCGTGCGAGAATAACGGCCTGACATCCCACGTGCTTGGCTTGCTCCAGTCAGAGCCTATAGTCTGGCTCAGCGCGGAGGGCGAGCCCAAAAGCATGGGCGGCGGGAGTCCGAGGGTCCAGCTTGACAGCGGCTTGGCATCATCATGGTATCCTAAGACTGTGAAATTGTCGGCGGTCCGTTGGGCCCAGCCAAGGCCTGAAATCTCGCATGAAAGGCTTTACAAGACTGGCGCTTCAGTGCTTGGAAAACAAGTTCCCGCACTTTGGTGAGCTGCTTTGCTTCCGCTGCTTTCAGCTGGGCACACCGGGCGGTCAGCAGCTCCCGGACGGCTTTCTGAAGCGTTGCGATAGCGTGCAGAGACTGGCTGGGATGTGCAAGTTGCCAGCGAAAGTGTTGGCTGAGCAGTTGGAGGACCGTGATGTCTAAGCCAGTCATTGGCGGAGTTTTGTCACGCTAAGAAGCTCCGTCATATTTGCACTTTGCTGCGTAGGACCACCGTCCAACTGCTCAGGCCGTCTTTCACACCACCGGCCAGTCCACGTTCCAGAGCTGGCGCAAGGTCTGGCGAGCTTACCAGAAGAGCGGGGCTGGCAAGCGCCGTCACCCAGGTGATGTTCTGGCAAAAGCTCTTCTCAGATTCGCTGTGGCGGAAGGTTGCACTACAAGTGGAGTGGAGCAAAGTTTCGGAGCCCGGACAAGAAGGAAGCCTTTCTTTTTTTCTTTCACACTTGCAAAGCCCATGCTTTTGGGTGGCCAACCCAAGGACATTTGACAAAGCTGTTCAAGCCAGAGCGGCAGCGCATGGGGCAGAGCCTCATGAATGACGAAGTTGCCCTCTTCCTCGACAACCCTTTGGTAAGCGACAAGAAGCTGATCCACAAAGCACGAAGGGTGTGGGTCAAGCTGGACTATGGACGCCCAAGGGCATTTGCCGGACGGATCACCAAGGGAGTGAAGAAGGCTGGGTTGTGAAGTGAGGTTGAGCGTAGAAAGTGTGCCACCCTTGGCCAGGTGGCCGCGAAGAGCTCAAGCAAAGCTGCTTGGAGCAGGCATACTCAGAAGAAGCTCTCCAAGCAGGTTTTGAGCAAGGGAATGTTGAAGTCTGCTGGAGAGTTGCTCCGAAACTTGGCAGCGAAGGCAAGATACATATAATGCTGGACTTGTTTTGGATTGCAGAGGCGCTCACGCGAGGATCCATTAAAGTCTCTCCTTCGTGGGGCGCGCGCCACGAGAAGGAGCAGGTTTTTCAGGAGCGGAGCTTGGGCAACAAGAAGCTGGATGCCTACGGGTCGGGCCGACTGCCGCTTGTCTGAGCGTTTCATGGAATGTTGCAGTCTGTACGCGTTGCGCGACCCAGCCCAGGCTTCCTGCGGAGGAAGCCACAGTGGACAGGAACTTGCTCAAACAGCGCCGGCAGCATCTCATCAGGTTGCAGAAGGACCAGGACAGGCAGGCCGCTTTGCAGAACCAGGCGCCTGCAACACTGGAGGAGCTTGCGCAAGGGAAGGCCGGCCAGATAGTTACGGTTGTGGTGGTGGGAGCGATCGGACTGCGTGGAAGCATTTGAAAAACTGTTGCAGGTGATTTACTCTGAACTTGACCTTGGCCAAGAAGATCTTGTCGTTGCGCGGCGCCTACGGGCCCGCGTGGAGGACACATGCAAGGACGCCAAAGTCTGCATTGTGCAGAATGTGGCGAAGCTTTCGCTTCGAGCGTCCTGGGTCTTGGCGCTCGGGGGTGGCGCTGCTGTGTGCCCGCGATTTTTTCGGAGCAACGGCCAAAAGGGCAAGAGCCTGTGCTTTCAAGGCCCTGCAAAGCCTTGGCGCGTGTGGCTGACCCCAGAGTTTGCCGAGGCAAAGCCTCACTTGGCGCAGCTGATTCGGGCGCATTGCGCGAAGAAGGTGTCCTGTCAGCTAGCGCTTCGTTCCTCGGAATGCGCGCTGAAGGGCGTCAAAGGCGTCATTCTTACAACAACCCGCGCTTCTGGTCGCAACAGGAAGACCGCTGGTGATTTCCTGAAAGCCATCAGGAAGATCGATGGCCGGAAGAGCAAGCTTTGCTGATGTGACGTCGGAAAAGAATGCACCCTTGCCTCGTCAGAGCCCCTGTCCAAAGGCGCCGTTTTCCATGAAGAGTGACAAGGCTTGTAGGCGTTGCAGCTCAGGTTAGCGTTTGTGATCAGCTCTTGGTGCACGCCAGCGCCATGTTGTGGTTTCCCGTGATGAGTCAAATGTGGATGAGCCCTGCAATTTACGATGGCAACTTTGACCAGATTCAGGAACAGGATGTGGCCCTGACGCCGTGCTTTGGCTAGCTTAGTTGAGGAGCGGTCATGGGCAAACATGCTCCGTGCTGTGTCAGGTACGAACCATGCTCTTGGCAAGCAGCCCTAGCAGAGTGGCTGCGGTGCTGCCTTCACGAGACCGACCCGAACTTTATGCATGATGACCAGCGTTTTCTGTACCTAGCAGGTTTCGTGGACACCGGCTCCCCACAAAGTTGTAGAGTTTCAAAGATCGTGGCCTTCTTAGAAAATGGCCAGAGCGGGGGGCAGCACATGCTTGTGCTGGCCCCTTGAGGAAGCCACGGCCATAAAAGCTGAGTGGATAAAAGGAGCACGAGCGCGGTGTCATGGCGCATCTTAGGGCACAGCAGGCTCCCAGGCGCAATGTCAACATGCATTCAAATGTTGACCAAGCAAGTCAGCTTTAGCGCCCTTTGTTTACTTCTTGGGCCCCGGGCTCCCGTTGCTTTCCTTACTTCTTGGTGGCGGGCACGTTGGTCGCTACCAGGGCCCGGAGTGGGAACTGGCCTTGGGAACTGGCCTGCGGGGACTGAGCCCCTAAAGCGCTACGAGAAGCAATCGCTTTAGACATGCCGGGCCGGGCCCTGGGGCGTGCAGCAATTCGGGGCGCAAGGCCCTGGCCGTAACCATCAAAGGCCACGTTGGCTCTTTGAAAGCGATTCCCTCCGCCAGGCCTTGCAGCAGCGTTGGATGAGATCAGACAAGGGGGGAGGCGCGCGCGAGGGGAATTGGCAAGAGAGAAAGCGTTCGTCGGTCGATCAGCTTTTGCGAATAGAAGCAGCCTGAGGGGAGTTTTGCGTTGCCAGGGCCTGGACTAGAACGAGCATATGAACGAGCATATGAACATGCGACGGGAAACAAAACATTGAGAAGCCAGGCCCTGGTTGTGAAGGCTCATGCGTCGTGTTATTGTGGCTTCATGCGCCAACCATGGCTTTAGTCGTTCCCAGCTTACCAATGGCCCCTGAACGTCACATGGATGCAATTATGCCATGCGGCTTGCGGACCTTGTGTTGCACGGATTCTCCCCGCTCCATCATATTCCATAATATGCTCCAACATCCGGCTAGCGGTAGGATTTTGAATGAACAAGACTGATGAAGACTCAGCGGATTACGATTAGGCCTCCCATATTTGCAATGTCTGCTAGCAGCAACAAAGAGCGGCATCAACAGAGAGCTCGCAGACGTGCGTAGCGCCTCAGAGTAGCCTCACAACGTTTGCGGAAGCAGTTGCAGACCGCGAGAGAGCGCTGGCCGCAAAGGGGTTCAGCCGTAAGCTTCAGGAGCAGTTTGAGGTGGATCAGACTGGCCCGGAAGCGTAAGCTGCCAGCAGCAGATGTGCCAGGCGCACCGGTGCGACCGTCGAAGGCAGTGGTCGACGCGCGCTACGTGCGGGAGTACTACCTTGCAGCCGCGGCCCGGCTCGCCATGCTGCGGCACCGCCTTGGGCGGCAAACTGGAACCCCATGGATGTCGCCCGAGCTGCCGGCAGAGGTGAAGAAGCGACTCAAGAACAAGAAGATCAACAACGCGCCTTGCATAGAACTTGGCATGGGTTGTTTGGCTTGCTTGGCCTCATATTCACAACGTCGGGCACAAGTCAGTATACCTGCACAAGTCAGTACCTGTGAGTACACGCAGACCTGTGTTTTGGGATGGGGCAACCCAACTGTTTTGATCCCAGGTCTTCCGCGTCTTGGACAGGGGGTCCAGTGAGTTGCTGCTGTCGCTGGAGAACCTGGACTGGCGCACGTGCTACCTGACGTGCTTTCTGGCACGGTTCATGCTGGTGACGAAGGTGGGGAACTTGTAAATTTGTCGCGCCCTCATCAAGAGAGAATCTCGAGTTTCCCTGAAAAACATTGCGAAGGGAGCGCAATCGGTACTTTGTGGCCAGCCTTTGTCCTGGGCAGCCCTGCCAGGAGAGGTGCGCCGCAATGCGCTTGCCAATCCGGTGGCGGAGCGGTGGCGATTTGCCCTGGCTTGCGAAGCTGGGCAATCTGCTGGCTGACGCGCCGATGCCAACGGCCTACCGGCCTGTGGGCCGCGGCATCACTCGCGAGAAGTTTAAGAGCCGGGCGCTGCTGGCGCTGAAGGAGTTTGTGGGCGAGGCGTGGCTGAAGGCTTGCGAGGTGCCGACAGCCAGAGAGCCTTCAGACTCAGAGCTGAGAAAGTATATCGAACATTGCTGATGTCAGTTGTCTGACTCCCAGCTTTCTGGCGGGGCTTTCATTTTACCCTTTCAAAGTTAAACATCGCTATAGGGGGCCTGAGGGCAGCCCGCATTCTTTGGTTTCTGACTTCTTGCACCAGGCTATGGGTTTTGGCCCTACTGCCCATAGCAGCTGGAGCAATGACCTTGGGTGTGTGTTTGTGATGACCATCGGACATAAGTTGCGTGAGAGAATGCGTGCCATTTTGGCAAGGAGGATCATCCTCCCACCCCAAGCAAACGAAATTCCGTGCTGGCTTCTTGTGGGCACGCTTGCGCACTTGCACTCCCACTCCCTTGTAGACAGAAGATGCGCAGCGCCATTACTTGCATGCTTGATTCTCTGCCTGTGTTGGGAATGGCGCAAGCCTTGTTGGCTGGGATATTTTGGAGCAAGCTTCGCGAAAGACTGGCGAAAGCCCGTGGAACTTGTCGCAAGGTTCCATGCGTCCCCGGCAAGCGAGTGATGGTGACTGCTGTCGTTCTACCAGCATCTACCAGCTGCAAGTGAAATCCTGCCAGCAGCCACCAGAACAAAGCGCAGTATGTCTAAAATCCGGCCTTCATCGATGTCCTCACTAGCATAAGTATTCGCATGTATTCGCGTCGCTGCTTCCTTTGTGCTGATGCGGGATAGATCATGTCGACGCAGCAGCTGACCCACGCAATCCCATGCATCAACACCCAACCACTGAAAGGGCTGGATTGCGCACCGCACGCTGCGTAGAGATGGTCAACGCGGTTTGTTGTTGTTTAACAGCGCGGGGCTTGCGCCAGATAGCTGTTTCCCCAAGCAGGTGGCCAAGGGCCGCAGCCAAGCGGATGCTTTTCTGGACAGCACCACCTACCAGTTTGCTTCATACCAGGTAAATCTGGATTTGCACTTCCTTGGCTTGCGGGCCCGCAAAGGCTTCAGGTTCATCAGCGGTGTCGGGTGCTCCAAGGCTGGCCGCAGGATCTCGCGCGCCCAGCTGAGGCTTGGGTTTGTGCCAAAATGCTGAAGCTCACGCAGAGGACAACACTCCACCAGCAAGAGACCGCATCTTAAATGCACAGCAAGGGACGACTCTACAAGACTTTTTGAAAGATTTTTTGCAGGCGCACTTTTGCAAAGTCACGATGGTACATACATACCTACAAAGTACCGACAACATGCTTGCGCACCCTAATCCAACACCAGCCTCTTACCCTTACCGTGGGAACCCCTAAGTGTGTACAGTTTTTCGCGAAGGGATGAGGAATGATGCGGAGGGAGGTGACATTGCGCCTGAGGCTTGACGAACGTTTGGCATGTTTGGTTTTGTAAGGGTTTGCAACACGTTTCTGCCGCTCGAGTTCAAAATAGTGGCTCTAATGTGCAGAAAACTCTGGCCCATAGGCTTCCATGAAGGGACCATTTTTGCTTGGCAGGTATCTTCACCGTCAGTGTGGCGCCGTGCCCGCCTTCCAGCGGGAGCTGCGTCGATTTGGCATCTCCTTCACATTGGACGATTGTGAGTACTGGGCATGCGAGTTCCGCAAATTGCGCTACTCTCCCCAAGACAAAGCTGCAGATCGCAACCTGTTGCGGGCTGCGGGTTACCTGAAATATCTGGGATTGCAGCGTTGTTGTGCTAGTATGGATGACCCGTTTCTGCTCATGTCGGTAGGCAAACTGGCACTCGCAGCTTGTTATTTGACTGACTCCGTTTGTAGCTCATGATGTGAGACTGGGTTAATGTTAGGGTGGGTCGTGCGAGCATGCGTTCCGAGGAGTGCCCGACTACCGCAGCGGCCCAATGTCGGCGGCAAGACGCCAGGCAGTCAAGAGGATCCTTCGCAAGCTCCGGGACGGCGAGAAAACAGGAAGCGACGGTCGATGGCTGTCGTTAATTTGGCATTTAACGTGCTAGAGGCCCGTGGATGTCGGGGAAACTTATCTCGCTACCTCGCCTGCAGCCCGGGAAAACCGTGTCCAAAACGGAGCCCTAGCTGAGCAACTATTAGGGTCAACTTGTTGTGCACTTGGGGAGCACTCATTCGGCGTGTTCAAATTGGAGCCTTCCAAGGAGAATTTGTTCTCACATGCCCCAGGGTCTGTTTTGGAGGCCCCCCATGGCGTGTTCAATTCGGAGCCTTCCACCGTTTTTGGCTCACATGCCTGCTTGACATGTGGTAAGAACATTCTCGCACGCCAACATCAGCAAAGTTCGACTAGTAGGCGGCATCGGTTTTTGACACTACCCTGCAACTGGGCCCTCTTTCGCAATGCTCGAATCGCAGGCTTTCACATCTGCGTTCAAGCCAAGCCGCACTATTCTTCTTGCCAACATGGGCCTACTTTTCTTGGTTTGGGGCAGCCCTGATTTGGCGTGTTCAAATCGGAGCCTTTTAAGGGGTGTGGTCAAGTCTAATCAAAACATTTTTGGGGCAACTTTGTTTTGTCAGTTCTTTGCCAGGAGCGTAACACTAATTTCTGTGATGAATCATTGAAGCGTATGAAGCAGCTTGGCAGAGCAATTCCGGGGAATCACTCTACAAATGCTCTGCTGAACAGCTCTCAGATGTTTTTCAGGAAAAAAGGAGGCTCTGATTTTTGGGGGCTGAGCATGGAATGTTCGTTTGAGGCCATGAGAGCAGAACAAGCTCCACTGCGCCAAGGCCCGCTTCGTCCTGCTCAAATCGGAGCCTTTCAAATTTGCACCCAAGTGCAGGCGAGCAGTTATTAGGTAAAAACAAGTTGGGGAGCACTCATTCGGCGTGTTCAAATTGGAGCCTTCCAAGGTGAATTTGTTCTCACAAGCCCCAGGGGCATGTTATAGGAGCATTGCTGCGCCGCGTGAAATTCTGCCACTGCAAGCACGCAGCCACAGACGACACCGGCAGGCCTCCAGCTCAAGGTCCAACAATCTTTCCTGGCCACACGCTACACGAAAGTTCCAGCTTCTCAGCGTCCTTGGCCTTTGGAAAGGCATGATGCTCACTGCGTGCCTCTTCAGGCAACCTTTCCAGGGCCTGGCATCTTTAATGTTTCGTTTCTCGCTGCATGTGCATAGGCTTTTGGATGGCATCTGCATGGTCGTTCTACTCCAGGCCCTGGCAACGCAAAGCAAGAAAACTGGCGAACGCTGGCGAACGCTTTCCAATTCCCCTCGTGTCTCCCTCTGTGTGATTCCAAGGCCTGGCGTAGGGAGACGTTGAGAATCAACAAGCCAAGGTGGCATCTTCTTGGGGTTTCGGTCTTGATCCCCCCCAGGGCCTGGCGTCTAAATATAGGTTGATTCTTGTAGCGCTTTCCACTCCAGGCCCTGGTGTTACCAAACAAGTTTTTACCAAACAAGTTTCTTGCGCAGGAGGGGCCCTCACGAACTGGCCCGTAACCTGAGGTTAGGGGCGATGTGTGTAACCCATAACTGTGAATTCTCCGCTGTAACGACGGCTATGCCTGGCGGCGCTGGCCGCGGTGTCTTGCAAGTCTGAGTGGAAGCTGTCGTGCAACGCAAGGAGGTGACTGTGCAGGAGAAGCTGGGCACTGTCAAGGGCACTGCCGCAGGCTGCGGCAGGTCGTTGCTATCAAGGCACCAGGCTGGGTCGGGGCGCCAAAGAGCAAGTCTCTCTTTGTGTTGCCGTTTGTTTGCTTGCCCAACTTGAGCTCACATATTTTGTCCCAACCGCGCCTGTGAAAGATTATGAAAGTGCATGTTTGCTTGCTTAATTGAATGGCTTTCTTTGCGTGTGTGTGTGTTTGCTTGTTTGCTCGCTTTTTTTGCGTGTCTTCTTCTGTTTGACTAGTTTCTTTGCTTGCTTCTTTCCTTTTGCTTTCCGTTGCACAGCGCGGTCCCTTTACAAAGCCCGTCGGCCAAAGGGCATGCGCGCACTTCCAAGGCACACTTTTCGAGCTGCTTGCCATGCAACGGGAACCCCACATGTAAGTGGGACCCTGGTCCACGGCTGGACCTCTTTGGAGTTGTGAGACAAGGCCAACGAATTTGATGGATTCCCAGATCATCCGAGATCCCAATAATTGGACATCGGGATTTGGATCCCAAAATTGCTTCGACCACTTGGGCTTTTGGGCTTGGATTTCAAGATCTGGCTCAGGAGTCTTTCAAAGCCCTAAGCTCACTGCGGTAGCAACAAGCTTAGAATTAGTTTGGATTGTAGGCAAGAAGGGTGGAAAACGAAAGAAATTTCTGGGGATACCCACCCCCCTAAAATTTCATATGTAAAAGGGTGGTGATCCTGGGGGGCCACAAGTACTCCCTTTCTGTTGCATAGCCATGCTCCAAACGGCGCCTCTCACGCAAAACCGGTCTGAAACAATGGCTTCCGCTCTCACGCTCTCCTTCGCTGCACCGTGTTCACCATGTTTGCTACAAGTGCGAGCCCCGCGATGAGAAAAATCCAAGGGCCAGGCGCTTCTCCAAAAGGGGGCAGCCTCAGACAAGCAAGTGCAACGAGCTGGAACTGCAAGGCAGGAATGTCGCATGAGAATGATGGCATGCGTGCGATCAGAGCTTGCAGCACACGCTGGCGCTATTCCTTTTGCCGGCTTGAGTCGAAGAAAGAGCATCCCAAACCGCAGGGAGATCTCACTGGCCCCCTTAGTGAGCGGGTCATGGTGCCCACCCAGTCCATGAGGCTGCGACGGCAACCCTTAGCTGCAAACAAGGTGCATGTCTTCTTTTGTGGCCGCCACAGCCATTTGCGATGCGAGTGGACCTTTGAGAGGGTCTTCTCGTAGTCCTGGACCCAGTCCATTCTTGGCCTCAACGTGTTCGAGGATGATGCGGAGTGGATCATGCCGGCCTGGGCGAAGTTAAGGGGGTCAAGCAATTCTTCTGAAGGGGGAGGGGCCTCATGTAAACAACTACATCAGGTCCTGGCTCAGTCATTGTTCCTACTTTCTACAGTTCCCAGGACCTGGTACTTTGTGGTTCC